AGGGCAGAACTCGTGCAGGAAATGTGGCAGCTGAGATTTTCCCAACGTAGTCTCTAGCACAGACACATCCCCAAAAGACAAGCCAGCACAAACCCCATCCCCCCTGTGCTGGGTCACTGCAGGATGGGAGGAAAGGCACAGCCTGTGTCTCACACCACCACACACCGTTGCTTTCACTCAAAAACTGGCACTGCCAGCCCCAGTTTTGGTCACAGCCCTGCTTTCCCTGCTCCTCTGAAAGGGGGCACGTCCCACACGCCAGGGAGGCTCAGGCAGTGCCACCTCCTCTGCAGAGGCTGCAATGCCATTTCATTTGCTGCAGGGAGCTCTGCTCATCCAGGAGCTGGCTGATGTTCAGGGCACCTCCCAGTGCCCAGCAGAGCCTGCCTGGGAGCAATCCAGCTTGGGATAGCAGGGCTGGAGAGTGGGGAGGAGGTTCCTACAGGACACCTCAGCATTCCAAACATTTCTTTCCCAATGACAGTGTTCAAACTCCCTAAGAAAACACCTCCACCTCATCTAGATGAGTACAGTTTGTCCCTACACACATCTGCCCACCAAGCTCACACCCCAGATGCACAGCTGTTCTTCTCAGGGTAGGAAGACATTTAATCCAAAAAACCCCAAGCCTTTTGAAGGAAGAAGACCCTGCTGCTGCAGGGAAGCCCTAGATTTGACTGGGCACTCTGGGAGAAGCTTGGTAACTCACAGGAAGTACAGAGTTCACATCTGCTGTTTAACTTGCATGCAACTTCCAGGCATTTCCCCACACACAGACTCAGAGTGTGGTTGGACCTGCCATCACTGCAGCAGAAACAAACCTCAGAACTCCAGGCCTGGAGGCTTGAAGAATCATCCCAGAGATTACCTGGCAATCCCAGCAGGAGATTCTCATCTCCACTTCCCTCTGGTGAGGGATTTGGCACTGGCTGCTGCTGGAAATGGAACCTCAGACTAAATTACCATATTACCTGATCCCGGGTAAGTTGAAGATTTCACCTGGACAGCCTAAATTTAGGCAGTAATTCAAGACACTTCTAGCAGTGCCCACACAAACATTACTTCTGTCTTCTAGAGCTGCAGCCCAGCAGCTCAACAAAGAGACCAAAGGAAGCTCCTGGTGACCTCAAAGACCTTGTCCAGTGCTGCCCTGTGGCGGTGGCACTTCAGCCCATCAAGAACCTATTTTCTCACCCTAGCTGTGAGAACAGACAAGGGGCAAGTCAGGGCTGGATGTGGGCTGAGAAAGAAACACTGCACCAGACACAGAGTGACAGCAAACAGCCTCTGTGCAGCAGAGAGCCAGCGCCTGCGGGCGGCCACGCCGGGCAGGTCAGGGACAGGCGCTGAGGGCAGCGCTGCGGAGGCGCTGAGGCTCAGCAGGACGACGGCCATAAGGGAAAAGGAGGAATAACAATAATGCCTTCGTTCTCCAAGCGCTCCTGAGCTCCGCGCGGCCCGGAGAGCGCAGGGCCCGGCTCCCGAAGCGCCGCTCACCAGCGGCCGTGCAAAGTCACCGGGGCTCCGAGGAGCCAGGGCTGGCACACGCCGCCGGCCTGGCCACAGCAGCACCGGGAGGGCAGCGAACGGCCGAACCGCTCGGTTCTCTCGGCGGGGGCTGCGGGCCCGGCCCGGCCCGGCCCGCGCGGTCACGGCGGCCGCGACAGCGCCGGGCCCCGGCGCGGAATCACGGCTGTGAGGCGGC